AACTGTTCAAAAGATTTGCCTTAATCAGGCCCCATGATTTTCCTACAAATATAGCTTTCACTAAGAACAATTTAAGCCTAGCATGGTTTTTATCCTGACAGTACCTTAGAAGTACCACATTTGCAAAGAGTATAAAAGAAATAGCCTAAAGCTTTACACCAGAGCTGTGTGTTCACAGCATTTGTACCACATCAAAAATCCTACAGGTCTGGTCATCAAAAATATGTCCAGGGATGGACTAGGTTTCATCCCTTCTCTGAAACCATCCTGGCCACATCCACCATAAGGAATGGACAAAGGCAACTGGCTCCTCGCTTGTCTCCCTGAGTTCCTCTGTGTCTCTTACAATCTACTCTCTGGATCCTGCTTCCCAGCAGACACGACCTGCAACACTCAGTTTTCTTTACAGAGCTTTTCTCTACATGGCAGCTCCAGAAGGAAACAACACGACAGAACAAGATCCATCCCCTGGCATCCTTGGCTCATTTTTCTCCCACCTCTCTTTCTCTGAGAGTGCTCACCTTCCTTCAGCTGCTTTAATGGCTGCCTTTCCTCCTTCCTTGGTCCCTGTCAAGGTCTGGCAGTGACAAGGGTGTGCAGCCTACTTTCTGCACATAATAGCTCCATGACCTGAAGCGACTTACTTCCTAGGCCTTGCGTTTGTCAGGTGGAATAAATGACTTCATTTTTTGTGTGTGTGTGAAGGGTAAATGAGCTAATGTGAAATATTGATAATTTTGCTGGACACATAGGAAGTTATTAACAATATTTACTATTGCTGTTATTATTTTCCCCTCTGTTCCCTTTGAATGTTTTCCCTGATCATTTTGGATGACAAAATTAATATAATGTTGTTGGTTCCTGGATCTCCTCTCTCAGGATCTGCTCTGTTCAGAAAGTTACGTCTACTTTTCTTTTGAGAAGCATTCTTGTGTTACTTTTAAATTTTTGTCTTTAATTGACTCATAATAATTATACAAATTTATGGGATACAGCATGATTCCAGGCACCAAAATACAAATATTGCATGATCTCACTCACGCGTAGAATCTCAGAAGCCATCTCCTAGGAGTAGAAAGTAAGAGGCTGGGGAGGGAGTCAGGAAGAGATTGGTCAGCAGCTGCAAAGCCACACTGGGTTTTTAACTGTCGCTTGGCATCTCTGTATGGATGCCTAATTTGCATCATTAATTCAGTATTCTAAAAGAAAAAGCATGGCACAGATGGGACCCTTATATCCTCTGAAGTTCATATTCTCTCTTCCTAGCACCTAATGTGATGGGATTAAGAGATGGGGCCTTTGGAAGATTAGGATGGGGTGCTTGTGAAAGGGGAATGTCTTGATGGAAGAGATTGGTCAGCAGCTGCAAAGCCACACTGGGTTTTTAACTGTCGCTTGGCATCTCTGTATGGATGCCTAATTTGCATCATTAATTCAGTATTCTAAAAGAAAAAGCATGGCACAGATGGGACCCTTATATCCTCTGAAGTTCATATTCTCTCTTCCTAGCACCTAATGTGATGGGATTAAGAGATGGGGCCTTTGGAAGATTAGGATGGGGTGCTTGTGAAAGGGGTGAATGTCTTGACAAAAACAGTTCTCTAGCCCTCCCTCTCACCTGTGAGGACACAGAGAAACCAATAGCCTGCAGAGTGGAAAAGAGCCCACACTGAAACCCAATCATACCACACCCTGATCTCAGACTTCCAACGTTCAGCATGGTGAGAAGTAAGTCACCCAGTCCACGGGGATTTTTTCCAGCAGCCTGAATTGACTATGGCTCACAATCCAAAGTTATCTGCGCCCCTAAGCTGTATTGTTCCTTAGAGGTAGAACTGGGATCCTCTATCCCATGCATTGAGGGTGGGTCACCAGGACCTCTTAGGACACTCGAACAGGACTTTTTCACACCTGTTCCCTCTGCCTCACTTCCCTATCAGCTCGTCATGCTCCCCTTAGTAACTTGGTTTTGTCTTCCCACAGAAGTCAGACTGATGTTTCTATTCTATTTCAACCATGTCTTTCTTCCGTGCACACTTCTCCAGTCTCCATTAACTCAACAGATGAATCTCAACCCCTCTTGCTGTCAGGATCCAGCCTGTAGCAGGAACTGTCTCTCTGGCATCCTGGCATCAAGATGACTGAACAAAGATGAAACTTACCATTGACTCCTGGACTTCAGCACAGTCCTTCCACCTAGAAATCTTGGGGGTTTTCTCTCTCTCTTATTTCTAGTCGAAACTCAATGTCCACTAGGGCCTACCTCAAATGTCAGCACCATTGCCGATGACGCCTGTCTCTCCTGAACTCCAGTGGAGCTCTGCTTCTCAGCTGCTGTATTTACCACCCCCTGGCTTACCTCTGCATCCTGGGTGTACTTCCTTTATTCCTCCTTCCCGATCATAACTTCTTCAAAGGCACTTATTATATCCCTTAAAGCTTCCAATGGGATAAAATGAATGGCAATAATTGCACTAGGAATTAAGCTCATTTATTCTGCAAAGCAGCAGCCTGTTGTCAAATGCTAACTCTCTCCTTCACAGCCCTCGTAAAAAGAATTGGAAAGCATATAAATGAAGTAGCACACAAGAGAAACATACAGTGTGAGCAATTACGCCAATTTCTTTTATAGGAAGAACGCAGCTGAGATAAACATGGAAGCAGATTATTTACCATCCACAGGTCTCATTACCAAGTTCTTCTACATTTTTCATTAAAAGAAACCAAGAAATACAAACAAAAGTAGCCCTTGAGAGGAATTGGCATAAAGGAAACAGCTCATATATGAGAACAGCCTCAAAGATATGTCTGTTTCTAAAACTACACCCACTAAGAGTGCACACACGAGCTCACAGGTGTGCACAGGTGCACCTCCAGATGTGCACAGCCACACAAAGGTAAGGAAGCGGGTCAGGTGGGAGACACTTACCTTCAAGGCATCCTGGGTGTCATCCAGACAGTAGACTCGAATGCTGTACTCCAGGGAGGAGCAGCAGAGGGGACCAAAGATAGCCAGCTTCAGGCGCTTGGCAGCAGCTTTGGTGGTGGACTGGCCGACCAGGGCGTAGGTGCTGAGGCTCTCCGTGAGGATGTGGCAGGCCTCCGCATCCAGCTGGATGTAGCAGGGTGTGGTGAAGTTTTCTTCTCCGACCACCACCACATCCTGGGGGCAGAGAGCAAGGGCTAGGGCTGAGCCCCTGAGTGCACATTGGCCACTGTGGATGGCAGTGGAAAAACAGGGTCTCTTCTCCTCAGTTTTATTTTCCTGCTCTTTATGATTCCTCTATTTCTAATCGGAATCATTAACTCCCTTCCTGTCGTTGCCTACACACTGATAATGTTCTTTATGCACGTGCCATTTAGTGCTTTTTTGATCTTCTGAGAACTTACATGAAAATCTAACACACTTATAAATTATCCCTTTTTTCAATGTACTGAGCTTATTACTGTTTCTGAGGATTTAATGTTTTAATCTTTACCTTTCTTATTTAATCTAAAAGACATACTTTATTCCAATGTTATTACAGAATGGTGCTTTTCCACTAAATCTCTACATATTTCAAAAGAACTGGGGAAGTCAAGGCATTATACCATGCTGTACTAGTGTGTTCTTCAAAAATTCACTGGCCAGTTACTTCTCAAAGCAATATATCGTTCTTCCTACATAATCTGGCTTGCCACCTCTACAAACGGCCAGAGAGTATGACAAGCTCTATGTCTGTACTACATGTCTCTCTCTTTTATTCCCCATATAACCTAACAAACAGACTACTCTTAAGCTTTAATATATATATATATATAAAATAAATAGAAGTGAGGGGTGAAAAATGGTTACTCATTCAATCAGGTTTGATTCATCCAGATGGCTCAAGCCAAAGTATAAATAATCGGAAAGAGCGAGCACAGAATTCATGAAACAATGGCCATAGCTCCAGCTCTGGTACCTGCTTCAGGAGCTGGAGCTGCAAACCAGGAAGCAGGTAGGACCTACAATGCAAGGAGCAGTGGGGCCTGTGGCAAAGCATGCCCTCTCCGAGGAGCCCGGTCTTTAGCTTGGCCTGCAAGGTCGGGCAGGGTTGCAGGCCCCGTGCACATAGGACCTTGCTTTTCTGAGAGAAACTAGAAGATCATTACTTTATAAGAAATCTTCCAACTTGTTGGAATTCAAATGTAAAATACAGTGTCATGTGGGAGAAATAAAGCACACACATGAGCACGATTTACCCTCTGCACAGGCTACTTCATCTCTGTGGGGCAGGAGTATGTCCCCTCTGCTGTCTGTTGTGTCTCACTGGGCCTGGTGTACAGGGAGCAGCCAGCAAAGGTTTTTTGAAAAGAATGAATGAGTGTTTCATCATAAATGTGGGCTCTGGGACTGAGAACTATTAAAGAAGCAGCCACTGGGCTGGTGATTTAGCTCAGCGGTTTGGTGGCCTGCCTCGCAAGCACAAGGACCTGAGTTCAATTCCCGGTACCCCCCCCAATAAAAGAAGCAGCCAGCTTGGGTGTGGGTTATTAGTTAGGCTGTATGGTTCCACCTATGACAGGAGTGGTATTTTAACAGCACTGGTAAAATCAGTTTTTCAGCTGAACCTCTCTCCCCAAAGGTAGCTCACACTGAAAAGGAAAAAACAGAAAGAAGCATAGTATCTTCGAGTTTACTGCAGGCCCAAAAGCGCACCTGGAAAGAAGCTGCACTGTCCAGCAGGACAAAGGCAAACCTCAGGGTCACCAGGATGGGTTGTTACAGAGCCTCTGAGAAGGCTAGGCTAAGCACAGGGTGGCCAAGTCTCAGAACTCATGGTGGGAGTACTCAGAAGGACACTCCCTTCTAACGTCCATCTTCAGTTCACTCTGGCCGGTGTACTCGTATTACTCAACCCCAGAGATGACAGAGTATCAGGCAGGCAATCTTGCAAACACTTGAGAGTCATTTCAGATAAGGTTTTAGATGTTTTTCTTTTATGTAAACAGTTTACAGTTTAAATGAAATTAAAGTAAGATCTGGTTAAGTCTGCTCTTAACTCAACTTAAAGATAACCTAGATTTTAGGTCCTCTAACAAGGAATGATTACTTTTTGTGGCCACAAGAGTCAAATGTTCACAGAAAGGAAAATCTAGTTAATCCCAGGGTGCCCTGCTACTCTGCTAACTTTATGTTTTCCAAAAATATTAGGGGTTTAAATTTTCATATATGTCTCTTTAGAAATTTTTTTTGCTAAAAGAAAAATACCATAAGAAATCATGTGTGTGTATAAATATATATATATATATATATAATGTATACTTATATACAAAATATATATACTTATATATGCATATATAATGTATACTTTATATATAAGTTCATATTTTATATGTATAAACTTTAATGTAAATTTACATTTGCATTAATTTTTATAACTACTTGACATTATTTGATGAACATATTCCTGAGATATAAGTGCCGGGTGAAGAGATGTGATGTAAGGAACTGAACTCATTTAAGACATGGTCTCTTAAAGGTTATGGTGGCATCAGCCATACAGAGACACAGTGACAGTGATTTTCCTCAGTCTAGTGGCATTTCTATTTTACCAGGTCCAGTTCATAAGAATTATTTCCTAATTATTTGTCTGCAACATTTCTCTATCTGCGAATTAACTGAATAAATAAATATCACTTCCTAAAATACAGCATCTATATTCCAAAAGGAACTTGGCTGAGACTTTTGAGTATACTTTCCCTGAGTTAGCTCATCCTTGACCATCTTATTTTTTGTGTGTCTGTCAATCAGAAGACAAAGCACTTAGGAATCAGATTATCTGCCTGTCTCTGGCTGTGAGAGGGACCTATGTCCCACCCGTGTTTGGTTGTAGAACAACAGGCCTCCTAGAGGGCTCCCGTTGGACTCCACCCCCATCCCACGAGAAGTCCCTCACCTCCCACTGTCCCTGCACTGCCTGGTGCTTGAGCTGGATCCTCCAGTCCTCTGTGCTGGGGTCTGCGCAGTGGTGCAGGGTGAGAATGACAGGGCGAGTCAGCAGAGCTCCGGGGGGCCCGCAGCTCACCACAGGGGTCAGCAGTGTCTGGGAGTCTTCCATGGGGGGCCTGTGGAGAGCAGAAGCCATCTCAGTGACACTTCAGAGCACTGATGTAGTCGGTACTCATTGAGATCTGAGATCTCCAGTTGTACAAACAGTTCAAATCATTTTTTCCTGGAGCTATTTTTGGGGGGTAGGGGCCAAGACAGAAATAAATGGGAAGACATGCTCTTTATACTAAGACTTTGATCTTGCTAGACTGGAGGTCTTTATGATAACAGTAAATCTCTTTGATCTGCTTTCCTCAGACAAAGGTCTGCCTTTGGTAGCTTCCTCTGAATTCATGAAGGATACTTTCAGGATGGAATGAGAAAGAACAAAGGTCTTACGAAGTTACATAACTACTTTTTCTGATAATACTTGCCATTGGTCTCACAGGGTTTTAAATACTTTTGTGTTTTTAGGGCCTACCTGAAAAATACTTCTAAAAAAATCATTTCAGAATAAGGACACCCTAGAGCTAAATTTAAGTCCAAATGACTTGAGGGAATAATCCAGACTAGTATAGCAGATTCATTCTTTCAAATATGACCAAAAGAATATAGAACTGTATTTCTTTAGCGAGTTAAATAAAATGAGATCTCTTGATTTACATTATTTCACACTCAGAGAATCTGGGCAGAAAGAACCTCAAAAATCCAGATTCCTTATTTTCTTGCATATTTTTAAAACCTCCATTCTTTTCATTTAAAGAAAGTAACTAAAAGCAAATGGATAAATCAATCCAACATATCAATTGATAAGTGAGGAAGTTGTCCCCAAAGTGTTGGGCACGTTGCCTAAAACTCCTAGCTCACAAGGGCTGGTCTGTGCTGGAACTAACATCCCATCTCAAGGACTCTACCTGAGGTAGCTTTCACAGCAGCAGGCTTCAGACTTACAAGGGCCCTCAGAGGCCATGGGACTCCCCTTCTTTCCAAATCAAGAGCCTCGTCACAGCAGAGACGATGTATGCTTTGCAGTTTTTAGGCACATCCACAATTACAGTCCACAGCTACAAAGGGCTGCCTTTTTATCTACTCAAATTTACAAAATATTCTCAGATGGAATGGACACAGTCTTCCTTCCTTGAAATTTCTCTTCATGTGTCTTTGACCTGCTTTCTGGCCCATTTTGTTTATTTGGACATTGTTATGAAATCTCTAAAATCTTCTTTACTAGCGACGAAACATCCTGACTTCTTATTCCATATCAGCTGGCAAAGCACATTTTCCAGGTTTCTCCCCATATTTATTCATTTACATGTGGAAATTTCTCATTATTTCAGAGTCCTAATTAAATTTGGGCATCTTCAAATGAACCCAGTACACAAGTAGACACTACAGGAGGAATACTTTTCCCTTTGATTTGGAATATGTAGTACATTTACAAAATTGCTGCATGAGATTATTCTCAATCAAACCATTACTTGTAAATATTATTAGCAGGCTCTAGTTAGAGAAGATGGAGACACTATGATTAAATATTTCCTTTACAAAACAAGGCAAGGAAGATGCAAGGAGGTTGAGTAATTTGGTAAAGCTAACCATTTGAAGTATTCTGAACTTGACCACTCTTGGACTAAGGCCAGGTAGTTCTGCCTGTAATGATAGATTTTTGAGTCTAGTTATGCACATTCATATTTAGTTTTTTAGCTTTACCTTTATAATTCCAGCATAAATTTTTTTCACCATTTTTAATTGACCAAGTTTATAGGAACAAATTAAATATTTAAAAACAAAGGCCAGATTTTAGGTCTCGGTTGCGTATCCCATTCATTTGTATTAAGTGTACCTTTCCCTAATGTCCTAGCTTTGTGAAAGAACAAGTCAAACCTGTGAAAATACCTGTTAACATTCAACACCTAACATTTATCCCTATTTCTGTTCTATGATGCAAAGATTTTAACACTCAAATGGTACCTGAAATACCCAATTTTGTCATGAGCAGCATATTTCATTTTAAAAATCAGAGGAAGGTTATTTAATAAACTAAATAACACCATTATTTTAAAAGACACACACAGGCCAGTCTTTTACATTCAGAAGTGGTCCATATATTAATCACCCGGAATCCCAATTGGCCAAAATGTAACACTCAAATACATTAAATTTCTTTAAGGCTAAAAATATGTACAGTATACTATCACTTTTGTGGAATACTTTGTCAGAGATATCTGCTATTGCCTACACATTCTCTTCTGGCATTATGTCAGTGTAAATCTCTTAATGCCCATCTCTCCTCCAAGTACTTGCTATCCTCTATAGATCAGATGTGCCTGCCTTCCAAGCTCCCATTATAATTACCAATAACATCGTAATACAAGAATAAGGCCAGGGCAGAGAACTTGTGAAGGACACCACTTGAACCTCTTTTCCATCTAATACTAGTATTTCTGAGTTATTTAGTTCACCTAAATATAAACCCATTGTTTACATTTACGATATCCAGGCAACATCTTTCCATCTCATTCACGTGGATGTTAATAAAGAACACATCAACTTTGCTACACTTGTGGTGCCCACTTAAAATTGATTTTTCCTTAGTCTTTACAGTTATCTATAATTTATTGCATCCTTGAAAAGTTGGTTTACATCTATGGCTCGCCCTAATTTAACACCCGATGGATGATAGCAACTATCATTTTATAGCAATGGATGATAGCAACTATTATTATCTGTAGCATTGTTGGAAGACAGTTTTCTCAGGATTTCTCGTGTTATTTCATGTTCTTGACTGTTCAAGGGTGCTTATAGAGCAGTTGGCTCAGAAGACAGAGCCAGAGTCAACCTTTGGAGCAACTGGCACAGGTCTACTTCTCAACAGAAAAAGACATAGTATCCTAGGCCCGGAGGCCTTTATTGAAATGTATCAATGCAACTGACTCTCTCTGCATTATCTTTGGAGAACTCACTCTCAGGAAACTACCACAAAAATGATGCTGCTCTGGGTAGTGCTACTGCTGTGACTAATAAACCATCCTTTGTCTCTGGCCCAAGAGACTTATGTCCTCTATCAGCAGCCACACAACCAGTAGCTAATGGAGAGCTGACAGAGCAAGGCCAAATCCTAGTGCTTCCATAGTTGGCAAACATCGCTTCTAAAAACTGAAGCAGAGGTTGGCCTTTATTACCCTGAATATGCCCAGACTCTCTCTGCTCCTTTTCTTTCTCTAAAACTTTATTAGTATCTCATCAACCTGTGTCTCTTCCTGTTGAAAAACTCCAAACTTTCCTACTTTTGGTTTTTTAATATCTTGGTTTTTTAATATCATCTCCATTCACTATGACTATCAACAAAGTTTCCTCTATTACATCTAAAGTTAGCTAGGTATTGGAAATGCACTTATATTTTGGAATCACTAGGTTATCATCAAGCAGCTCTTTTAATATCTTGGTTTTTTAATATCATCTCCATTCACTATGACTATCAACAAAGTTTCCTCTATGACACCTAAAGTTTGCTAGGTATTGGAAATGCACTTATATTTTGGAATCACTAGGTTATCAGCAGCAGCTTGAGACCTCATGACTCTCCCCTTTAGCACTGAGGTTTTCATTTTCCCATAACTCAGTTTGTCCTTCTTCTATCCAGTCTGAAATTCCTTCTCTTACAATGTCAGTGAAGTTTTGCTTTCATTGTGTCATAGTTAATATTACACTATCTGCCTTAAGCAGTGACTTTATTATTCCTTAATTCTACTTTTCCTGTCAAGGGAGAGGAAGAAAAAAGCTGACAATGATTATATTTTCCTGAGCACTACTATTACCTTTTAGACACAAGTGTGCTTTGAGAAGCTAGCATTAAACTTTTGAGGAAAGAGACTAAAGTTGAATCCATTTCAAGCGGCTCTTGCAATAGAGTTGGGATTGGAAACATCTGTCAGTCTGGCATCAGCAGCTGGTGCTGGAAGCCAGGCTGAGTTGGAGTAGAGAGGAGAAGAATCCCTCCTGAGTGGGGGAGCTCTCAGGCGGCACCTCCAAGGGCACCCCTGGCATGGAGTATTGATGGGCACTGCTCTTGGAGGGGGGATAGCCAGGGAAGTAGGGCCTGAGGAGAGGGATGGGCGTCAAAGAGCTCAGTAAATCAGTGAGGTGAAAGGGTGTAACAAACAAGAAGTGGTAAAGAGGAATTCTTAACAAGGGGGGAAAACATATAAAAATAAAAAGAATCTCTTATATGCTTTAAGATGAGAGAAATAGCATAAAATTGGAAATATTTCCAAGCATAAGTGGAAGGAGCGATTAAGGTAAGATTTACATAACTATGTGAAACCAAAGGTTCAGTTTCTAAATCCACATTTCCTTTTTTATATAAAAGGAGGATATTAAAAATATATAAAACAAAATAGTAAAAATAAATGAGTCTGATTCATATTTTTGCAGAGGGTTTCACTCTTCATGTCTCATGTTACCCAAGTTATCCAAGCAAACAATCTATAAATATTAATTGCCTTTGATATAGAAGTGAACACAGATAAAAATTAGCTATAGATGCAACAATTAGTAGAAATTCAGCAATGAACAATGATACAAATTTTAAAGGCTTTTCAAAGTCCACCTAGCAAAACATCACAGTAAATGCTGGATGGTTTCGGAGTCCTCCAGGTCAAAGCCCATGGAGAGTTTGTTCCCCATCAAAGATATTTTGTCATCGTTTGCTATTATCAGTAAAGGAACTTCTACCTCAAAATGTATAATTTACAAAACTTCCATATAAGTAATTGCATTTGTTGCTCAAAGCACACCTATAAGGCAGTTGGAATGAGTATTTGTATCACCTCTTTCCCAGGAGAGGAAGCTGAAATCTTGAGGTACTAACACACTTGCCTAAGGACACAGCTAGTCAACAGCAAAGCTAGATCTCAAATGCAAGTCATTTCATTTCATTCACACCGTGGCCATATATGGGTTTCAGTTAGGGCCTTTATAGCTGTTTTGCTAGAACAAAACTAATTCAAAAGAATGTGCCTCCGTGCACCTCCGTGGTGTCTCCTGCCATGTGAGACACCTTCTGTGGATGTGTGTCTTCTGTGCAGTCCCCCAGGATGACAATCCCATTCTGTTCTCAGCTGCTTTTTAAAGCACACGCCTTCTCAGATAACTGAAATATCTGTACTCTCCATAATTGACAGGGAATATCTAACTCACTTGCTACCAAAAGCTCAATTGAGAAAAAAAAAATATCTATGGAAGCCACTCTGAAGGGAATGCCACCATTCTACACAGGCAAATCTGTGCCTGGATTGAGCCTTTACAGCTGAGCACGGGGCTCCTGTGTAATTATTGTACTGAATGTATACTTGTGCCTAGACAGTCTAATTCCACTGAGAGACACCAACAGGTGAAACTCACTGCAATCTCTATTTAAAACATATTGTCAATTTGTAGTAACAAAAATGTCTTCTTCATGAGGAAGCAAATAAGAAACAACTGAGCCTCTTCTGGGCGTATACTTTTCCCTCATAAAAATGCGAATCCTCTAACTTCCCACATTCCCCTTTTGCACTTTTGAAAGAGCCAATTCATGACCTGCTGCCAGTAAATGTGCTGGGGAATCACATCAAACCTTTTACATTCAAACTGTTCACCTGACTTTACCTTATCTTTACAACCTTATTTTCCCCGTTTTTCTCTTTGCAACAACTTTAAATATTTTCCCTTTTATTGAAAGAAATGTTTTTATAAATTATTTTGAGAACTTCTTTGTAAGTGGGATTTTAATAAATCCTACTTCTAAACACTGCTAAGAATCCAGAGAAAGAGATTTATGTGTGTGTGTTTGTGTGTGTGTGTGCATGCACACACACACACACACACACATACATACACCTGGACTCTACTACCTCTTCTCTTTAGTCTTTTTATAGTGACTCCTTCAAACGGAGGACCTTGGGAATCATGAATGATAAAGGAATCTCTACCTAAAAGGAGAAATATCTCTGAGTTTCACGGAGAAATAATGTCAATGACTATTTTACAAAACTCCAAACAATAACATGTCAAACAGAACATCTCCTATATAATTACATACATAAAGAAAATTTAGCCTTCTATTTTATCCTAACACATACTTTACTATTTCATTTTAGTAGATCTGTATGATCGTTTTGTCACCAACTCACACCTTAGCTATGTCTACAAAAATTTCACCAATAGAAATTTTCTGAAGGGCACCGATGTCCTGTAGTTGACAAATCCAATACCTTTTATTGTTCTTACTCTGTGTTTTTGTTTTCAGTATCATCATCACCAGCTACCTCCATCTTGAAGACCTCTTTGCCTTTGACTTTTGAGGTACTCTCATACCGTGGTTGACTCATTTATCCTTACAAATTTTCAGTCTTTCCTTTAGAAACAGTCACTGAGTAGCCACTCCAGGTTAGGGGCTGTGTATGTAAGTAATACTCGTCATCTGCCTCGTCCTTGCATGTTCTCTTTAGTTTCTCATCACACCCAAACCAGAAATGGGGAATTTCTCCAGAGCCAAGAAAGCAGGAGAGAGAAACCCTGCAGTGAGAAGCACCAGTCCCGCCTGACTGGCCGGGCTGCCCACCCATCAACCTGGCCTTTCTCTGAGAGAAGATTCAGCAGTGACAAGGCCTGTCTTGCCACATTCACGATGTTGTCACATGTCATTAAGCTCACACCCCCTTCAGACAGCTCACATCAGCAGATGACCAGCTGGATGGCACCCAGATGGACGCACACCAAGTCTGGGACACAATAGGAGGAATCAGAGAGGAGGAAACTGCTCAGAATTTTTCTACAGATGTCTTGAAGTAACACCCATATCTCCTGATGTGCACACCATCTCCTCCCAGAATAGTGCCATCTCCTGTCCTGTGAAGATCGGAAGGGCCTTCAGTGAACAGCAAGATATGCATCCAAATCCCAGGGCAGTAAGGAGCCCAAGGCCTGGTCTGTGTGCTGTTGCTGTGCAGGAGGAATGGAGGAGCCATCCCTGCGCAGAGAAGACTTGCAGTCGGGTGAACCACAGTTGGAATTCTGCCTCCTGAGCCACTGGCTATGAAATCCTGACTATGCACTTTGATGTCCTCGTGTCTTCTTTTCTTTGCCATTAAAGTGAAGCGTGTCATAACTTCCAGAGTTGCTGGATAAATGACCACAATGCTTTGTTTTATTACTAAATTCTAAAGGGCGTTCTTGCCTTTGTGCTTTTCCAAGGAAAATGCACCTAGTTTACCACAGAAAAATAGTGGAGGCTGGGCTTCTCATGTGATACGGTCTCAGGTACCTATTTCCTTTAAAACTCCTGAACTTTGTCCAGCTTTGTTTTTATAAACAGGAGTTTTTCGATGCACACCACATTTGAGAGAGCAACTCCCTGCACCCCTAGCTTCAGGTGGCAGGGACAGCAGGGAGCGATTCATCATTTCCTTTGCTTTCTAGGCAAAGGCAGTGCAAGCTAAAAGCAGAAGTGTCTAGCATTATCAATTTTGTTTTTTCTTTCCTTCACCTGCAATGTACAATGATCCTGGTTAGGGAGCCAACTACAGCAGGGAAGAGGTGCGTGGGAGTGCACCACCACGCTTCAGCTCGCACCTGCAGAAGCCTCTGGGGATTTGATCTTTAGCTGGCCATGATGGTCACCCTGGAAAGCAGAGGCCACCAGCACCCCACTGCTTCTCCACAAAAAGCGCAAGGCACCTTTGTTTCTGTTTACACTAACTGTTCATGTTGGCAGAGGCTTTGTGATGTGTTTAACACTAACCTCAACTCTGGACAAGGAAAAGAAAAGAAACTAGAGATCTTGAAGTTTGCTCATCTTTTCTCCTGCTGCACAAGAAGCGAGCTCTGAGGGCCTGGGAAAGTTGCTTTGCATTGGGGATGAGAAAAATGAATATTTGGTGTGGCTAAATGCAAGCCTGTTGCTGATTCTCTGCTGCTCAACTTTAAGGCATGAATAAAGCTTATGGAACTTCATTATTTTCATAGTCTGGCTACTGTTTGTATAGGTGAAAGTACACTGCCTAAGGAAAAAATGTTCTGGGTCATACCGATTATAAATACCAATATCTCCCCCTGAGCGCATGATAAAAGGGCTTTTCAGCTATTGAAGAGCAGACTTAAAATGGACGCTTTTCTGAGGAAGACAAGACAGGGGAAAGGTAGAATGCATAATAATGACAAACCATTTCTCCATCTGTCCGTCCCTCATTGCTCAGGGAGGAGCAACACTTCCTTTCCTCTTGGGCAAGCAAGGGTCAGTACTTGATAAGCGTCTTCATTTCCACAGCGTTTTATTTTAAGACCTCAGCACTCTTCAGAAGCACCCGTCCTTCGGGCTTCCAGGGCAGTGTTCACCGCACGCACACTCAATGTGGGAACTAATCAAGAAAGATGCCTAAAATTTGTCAGAGGCCAAACTGCAAATTCAATTTAGGATTTTTAAATGCCTGTTTTTTTTTTCTTAAAATAAGTTCATCCTTATGATTATGACGTGCTTGAGACAGAGCCTTTTCAGTCCATCTAGTTTTACTCAAGCCTAGACCCATATCTGAGAGGTCTGGTTGTGGGACTGGTCAGTGCTGCACAAAAGCAGGAAGTCAGCAGTAACAGGAGGACTCTGTGGGTGAGTGCCCAGGCTGGGCTAATGGAGGAGGAGCAGGCAGGAGGGGTTCAAAGTGTTGGATCCCCTGTGACTTTAACCCTGAGATGGGAGCAGCCTGGATTCTGGAGCCAGACCACATGAAACAGATGTTGCTGTGTCCACCCACATATCTCTCTGGACGAGCTGTGGATCATGTTTTCCCCAATCTTTGCTTTGATCACGTTTTCCCCAATCTTTGCTTCCTAAAAGGGCCACATTCCTCTTTGAGAAAAGGGTCTTTGTCATTCCACTCATGCTCAAGATCTGCCAAAATATCTGAAGTGTCTGAGATAAAGAAAAATAAAACTTGACCTGTTATATGCCTAAGGAAAAAAAATGTACGTCACTCACTATGTCTCAAAAGTACACTGTTTCTTATTTCTCTTGTTCAGTTCTCCTCCGGGTTAGACATTTAGAAAGTCAAGTGCAACAGAGAAAGCATATTTACCTCATATTTTCTTTCCTGTGTACAGTCACATACATCTCATAGACTCTCCCTTGGGGAATGGCGCCAGCAGGAATCAGCAAGCTCACTCCTGAATAGCAAAGAGACAGGCAATGGCATAAGACCTGGAAATTTTGGAATTGCCTTTGCAGCAACCACGGGAAATGATGTGATTTCTCGTGAGCACGTAGCCCTCAGCCGCCTTGTTTTCTCCAGAGACGTAAATATTCATAACTGCTCTACTCTCCTTCCTTATGGGCCTTACTCCTTACCACAGTTCCCTGTGAACTGTTACAGAATTACTTAAAGGAATGAGGTAATTTTTTAAACTCTTGTTTTATTTAAGGAATCAGACAGACGGTTCCACTTTTGTTTTCCTTGAAAAACAAGGGGAAAACAAAACAAAAAAAAACTGCTATTAAAATTTCAAACAGCTATAACGATGCATTGTTTCTACTTTTAAAAATTCCTTCCAAGATGCAGAGGTAGGGAAATGCCAACTTCAGCCTATCAACAAACAAACAAAACAAAACACACACATTTATTCTGAAATACCTGGTTGGCGTCCGTGTTATTCCACAACAGAGTTTGAGTCGGTGTGGCACCCCTTTTCTAATCGAGAGCTCTAGGAAGTGACATCTCAGTCACAGATGGTTACTACTTAGTCACTAGTTAGTGCTCTTTGGGAAGACCATGGCCCCAAGCTGCATTCAGGCTAACTGCCTAATAGCAACATTGGAAAATCTGAGCTTTCATCGGGATCTCCTGGAGGGCTTGTGGGAGTCTTACCCAGTCTCTGGTTCAGAAGGTCTGGGGATGAGTGGGAGATCTGCTATCGTACAGTGCCAGGCGATACCCAGGATGGTGGTTTGGGACACACTGCGTAAGAAACACTATCCTACACTGCTAGTCACCATCATGAGTGAGTCAGGGTGCCACGCACTCTGAAGGTATTTGCTCCACAATTTTACTCCAATAAAATTCAGTTTAATTTAGTGCGATGAAAGTATCGTCAGCAAGGCCATGGCATATGCCAAGTGGGTGTCAGGCAGCAAGAAAAGTTGCCTGACTGTGTTGAGAAGTCCCAAGCATGAGAAAATGGAGAGTGAATGGGGAGGCACTGCTTAAAGTCTTCACCTAGCTGTTTGGTGATGCTTAGGCCTGGGCTCCTGGACAAGGAGCATAACCCGAGGACCATGGTGCTGAGGGGAGTGAAATGTCAGGCTCCTGTCCAGGATGGTCTGCGGAGTGCACGCAGTGGGAGGAGGAGGACCACATGCGAGGCTACCAAGCCCCGGCAGGTGTTTTTCCCACAGCAGAATCATGAGATGTACCTTCATCTTTGTTAAGGGGACGAGAAAATTGTAGGTATAAGAAGCATAATGCTTGGCGCACGTGGGGAACTCGTCTTACTCTGGTAAACGAAACAGTGTAGGACGATCACCACCGTTTCTTAGGTATTAAGAATTTAAAGCAGGTTATCTCCCCTTCTTTCGCTTAAGAAACCTTTATACTGTCACATATGAAGAAGTGGCAGGTGTAGAGAAGGGAAGGAAAAAGCAGAAGACCTTGAGTATCACAGGGAAAAGAACTGTCTTAGAAATCATTATAATGTTTAAAGTAAGAACAACAGCATATATTTTGATGTAGTCATTTGATGGACTATTATAAATAGACATATACCATGATTTTAAATACATGCAAATAGCATGAGAATTAAGGAGAAAAAGATGAACAAACTATTTACAATCTCAGCTGGGTAAAAATGTACAGAGAAAGGAAAAACTATCTAATATTCCAATTTTATTAAAATTTCTTTAAAAGGTGTGGGGCGAAATGTTATCAATGCATTGAAATGAGGGGCTGATTAAGAAGAACCAAAGATAGTTGCATGTTCAGGCCTGTAGAACCATGGGTCTGTATATCACTTCACTATATTTTTTATATGACGTTAGCACTTTAGTTTGATGAAGTGACTTTCTACTTCTGTATTAAGAAATATTCATAACCTAGTCCAAAAGAGCTAAGGTAGATTCGGAGAGGAAGTTATTAGACCTCCAAAGACCCATGGAGGAAAAGTCATTGCTACTATTTTTTTTTTCAGTTTTTTTCCCTCGTTGAGTTTATTGGTACATTTTAGGTATGTAGTACAGTTACATTCATCATTGGGCTCTTGAACCTTTATATGACAGGTTTTGGTTCTCATTTTTTCCCCTTACCCTGACTTCCCTTCACCCCCTGCTCCCTTCCCTATTTACAAAGACTTTATTTCCATTTTTTAATTTTCTCATATTTTTTTTTCTTTTCCCTTATTTCCTTTCCCCGACCCTTTCCACTTCCCCTACACCTTTAGCCCTTTTCTTGCCTATTTCACACTGTCAATTCATTGCTCTTATTGATTAATCATTTCCAACAATGACAGTCACTCAATGAAGTTCACCATGAAAGACCTTTATGAGGCTTTTTCTCTAGTTGCAAATAAAACTACGTAACAAACTGAAAACTAAATAACACCCAAGAGGACATCTACGTGGTGGGGATCATAGTGGGTATATCTGAGGTCTGCGTGAATATTTTACCATTACCTTATAGATGGAGACTCTGTAATGAGCAGAAGATGAATGAGGATGAATGAGGATGAATGAAGATGGGCCGTCTATTTTGATGTCTCTGATCATCTGAAAATTAGTGTTCTGAAGTTTTGCTTCCTTTGTAAACTAAAAGTGGACCCATCGATGTGTTTCCTAATTAACTGTCCTTTGAAGGTACAGTGACAGCAGCCAGGGCTACTGGCTTGATGTTGCCTGCTGCAGTTCTATGAGAAAGAAGTCTCAGTGACAGTTCTAAATGATAGCCCAACAGAAAGTTTTGAATAAAATATTTCTGGAGGATGTGTTTGCAGAATTGGTTGTGGGACAATAAATGGTTTTGCATTTTTGTCTGAAGCAATATCTGATTTATATTGAAAGCAGATTTGGTTTAGATAGGCTATATTTAACTTTTAAAGTCTAATGAAAACAAACAAAAAATACTGGGCATAAAAGAGCAGGTTTTAAGCCACATCTTTGCCATTTAAACCTTTATGAGTTACCTGAATTGGGGACAATCAGATGACCACCAAGGGAGTTAAAGGTGCCAAACGCTGTACAAGATGGGTCAGTCTGCCTGGCCAGACTCTGGTTCTTCAGGTTAAGAGCCTCATGCTCCAGCAAGGATTGTGTCATCTGGGGGGACAGCTTGGATGTGAATTCGGAGAGGTCATCTTGGGGCGTGACAGCACCTGAGCTGTGGTGCACTTTGATTTTCAGGTTGGGCAGCGGATCCAGAATTGGAGAATTGGTCATGGGGATTTTGTCCGAGACATCATGCAGGGCGTAGACAGGTCCTCTATACATGGCCGCAGCCGATGTGAGGTCTGGGGGCACTGCCAGGAGATCTGAGCCAGAAAGAGAAGAGAATTCCATTTGTGTTCTCCATTCAGGCAACCGACATCACTCAGACTGTGCTGCCCACTCTCTGAGCCAGAAGCAAAGCACTCGGCTAACCCTGGGAATGTGCGGACTCTGAGGCGCTGCTCACAACACCCCAGACAGGCGACGGGCATCTGTTTTATTCTGGGCCATTTCCAAGTGGCTCAGCTCATTCTATGTTTAGCTAAGGTATTAGGCTATTTCAATAGACAGGATCGGACAATAAGCCCCATGAGGAAGTCAGTTTGCTAAGGGTTTCCCTTGTCTGTTCTGGATTTGATTTGCCTGTAACCCATTGCAGTCAAAGCAATACAAGATGTCTTGTCAAAGAAGGGGAGACAGGGAGACCAGGAAGTCAGCCAATGAATCAATGCATTTTTTAAAGACAGAAATTAAAAAGTAGGACATAGCAAACTGTGAGAAATTTAAAAAAAAAGGAGTTTGTGCACTTGGTCAGTTCTGATTTGTTATGTGAAATGACACCAACCCAGTAATGAGTGGAATCAGTGAAAATTGCTCTCTTCATGGAGCTACATTCTAGCTGAAATGGATAACCCAAACGTCTCGAGCTTGAAGCCACACAGGGAAATGGTTCCCCTAAGGCACAGGCTGTGAAGCCGAAGCCCACTGACCTTGTCTGGCTGCCTTGATGTTCACAGGCTGGAAGCCCCCATTGAGGGCTGAAGAGTCAATAATATCAGACTCAAAGTCCCGGTGATTCTTCCGATATACAAACAGGGCCACCGCCACGGAGATGGCCAGACACACTATCACCGCGATCACGATTCCCACGTAGAGGGCCACGTCATCCGAGTCAGGAGCGGCTGGAGGGAGAGAATGAAATGTGGGACCAACTACTTATGGAAAGTTCCCACAGGGCACATATGTATTGCTGTAATTTCTTCAGACTTTTACTGCCTTTTTTATAGGTTAATTTCAAATCTATTTCAAAAGCTGTATAAAATGACTGTGGCCTTTCAGTGGAAAATTATCTCTGATTTCTTTTTCTTTCGCACTCTGTATCAATCCACCCGATAATCTATCTTATAGCTGGGCACCATAACAGACCATTTATTACTGGCACATAGAGAAACCAGAGCTAAAACTATCCCAACCCACAGAGAAAAAAATAAGTTTATTACTCCTTTCAGGAGAAAAAGTTTAGAAGAGTTTTTGAACTCAGTGATAGTTATTTAAAAAACATGAACACTGTTAGAAATACATGGCCTGTTTTGAGTCCATATATTTATTGAACTAGAATATTTTCCTAAGTTTCATTCCAGGTCATAAAATTACTTTCCCTACCTCTCTTCTTACTTTCTCCTAACTCAATGCAGGGGTAGGTGGGAATGGTGTAACTAAGCAAAGTAAATATTAGCAGCAAACACTGCACTAGAACGATGTGCTTTCAGAAGGCCCAAGTCTTGGGGGCAGAAGTTAAGACCACGATGTTCTCAAAATCCAGACTTCTGGTATAGGTACAGCGTTTCTCTGAGCTTCGCAGTGACCATTGTGGAAGATACAGTGAGGTTCTCATTCCTGGAATACACATAGCTCTAAAGTGCACTGGGGAAGATACAGGCCGGGATCAGTGACCAACATGGTCAGATGACCCCAGAAGCCAAGTGAGCTTTAACTAAGACAGGGTGTGGTCCACTAGTGCCTAGTTCTTGGTAAAGTACAGGAAAGAATTTCTATAAATGCTGCCTGTTTTCTTGGTGGCACAGAGCCCCCTTTGATTCAACAGGAAAAAGACAAAAGAGCTGGTAATTAAAATATCAGCAGCCAAATTAAAACATCAGCAGCAAAATTAAAACTTCACAGAACCACTCAGCTAGTGTTAAGTCTCTGCCTTCCATCTTCTATGCCCCACAGAAGACTAGCAAAGTTAACCAAGGCTGCTCTGCTCAAGGTAGAAGAGGGGGTCAGTTTAATTCTTCACGTGGTCAAGAACCAACTCAAATTTTATGGTCAATTTAATATATACAGGCGTTCTTCGGTAGGCAGAATTCTAATGCATGGGTCCTGTGACTTAAAATTTGAGGAATCAATGCTCTCTCTTTGGATTCACAGCCACGTGGTTAGTTTGAGGAAGTTAACTCGCCCTTTCCTTTGCCAGTGTCACACGTGATAACTTACAGTCTAGCATCATGGTGGCTTCCCCAGGCTGGCAGGTAAACAAATTTCCTGTTGGAAATTGCCCCATCTCTTTTGGTGTTTTGTGTTTAAATGTACTGTGAAAGGACTGTTCTTCTTTTTAAAAATATTGTCCTTCCCAAAGTTTCCAACATTTTCACTTTCCCATTAATCATTAATATTGACAGTTTATTTTTTCCACAAAATAGTGGCATTCCAAATGCTCTTGGTTGTGGGAGTGTGGTTTTCCAAGCTCTTTGCTTTTGCTAGGTTTCATTTGGGGCCGTGCCACAGAATTTTAAACTCTGGTCACAACATTATATGTAAATGCTTAATGTTTTACTTCACCAGGCAATGATTACTTATTCAACATTCATGATTTCTAGCATGACAGATATGCATTTTCTCAACCTCTTCCTTTTGAGTATTTGAACCCTGCCCTTTATTTATATCAGCATATTTCATGATATGTTTTCTCAGTTACTGGGACTCAAGCATTACATGGTAGACTGATAGATTTTGAAGGTGGCAGAGACTTGGAATGACCCTTTCTTCTCTTCACCATCGAAAATCTAATTTGCTTTTCATGTTAGAATATATTAGGCTCCTGTTTTCTGTGTGCACATCTGTGATCCAAAGACAGGCAAACTTGAACTGGGGGCAATATATGTTAAATGATTATTCAGCAACATAGAATCCAAACATCAAACTTACAAGAAAATCCATATTCATTCTGGGTTCTCTGTTCAGTTGAAATAGGATAAATGAAACCTTGAAAAGAAAAAAAAAGTGAAACAAAAATGGGAACAAAATCAAATTAATGCAGAAAACAGAATGGGAAGCATGAAAAATGGTTTAATTAAAAGAAAAGGGAAAGAAACCTGTGGCCCTTTAAAATTCTGGTTCAGTATGAGTTATGAGTTTTTTTTTTTTTTTGTATCCCTGTCTGCTCTGGAGCCTAAGAATTAATAAGTAGGCAGATTGAATTTCAGAGCAAAAACTGGTCTCGAGTCACTAACTTTGGAGTGCTTAAAGTCTTTCTTTTATTGAGCATAAACCTCTAATGGATCTAATTTATTTCAGACATCAAGGGTCATTAGCATAAGGAAAATCTTTATCCCTTATCCTGCCATATGCTTTAATTCCCAGGACATACTTGGCAAGGTTCTAAACAGTTTTCTTCTTTCTTATTTAATCATAACAGCTTGGTCTTGGCCTAATAGAAATAAAGAAGACCTGTCGTCATTGGTCAAAGGTTAAGTACCCATTTACTGCGCTGAGCTATGACCACCTCTCCCCTGCTTTTCAAATCCACTTTTTGGATTTTCTGTTGTTTCTTATCCCTTTCACTTAATAGGAATCCAATACGGATTGCCCAGGGACTGAGTAGTTTGTCAATGCAATGGAAACTGGATGTTTTTTATTTGAAAATCATTCGAAAATCAATAGGGCCCAGAGGTAATAAGGATATTTTAGGGATTCAGAATAATGCTGTAAATTGGACAAAAATAATAACATCATCTCAAGTGACAATGAAGAAGAGATATTATAAGTTTCCTCATTAGTGTGAAGTAGGAAACTAATAATTGTAGCATAATACTAATAATGATAATATAATGTGGAGGAAGGCAGAGAAAAAAACACTTAAAAAGGGTAAAACAAAGTTTTTGAAATAAAAAAATCTGAGAGCACAATTCAAGTCTAACTTAGTGGTACCCACAGTTTCCCATGGTTTAATGTTCTGCAGCATATGAATTAATAAAATAATATGGCACCATGTGGATTAATCAAATAAGGAAGAACACAAAGCAAACATTCTAATGACACTCAAGGGCCAAAAATACAGGGAGAATGCAAAAGTCACAATTAATGGTTGAAACATGAAAGGTCTGTAAGGGTTTTCTACTAAAAGCAGCTCTGAATCATGCTCCGCAGTCTGCAGAACACTCAGTCCTTACAAGCTATTTACCTATTTGGGGAACTAATTCTGGGGAGAGGCACAGTGTTACTTTAATGAAAGAGAGGTTTGCTGTAGCACAGATGGGTTTGCTCTGAATTAATTTTTAATGCTTTATTTCAGAGCAGGGATTGCAACCTCCTACTCAGTTTTATAAATATTATATTCCTTACCCTGGTTGTCTCAGTCCATGTATTAGGTTTGGTTTTCATTTTTAAACATCTCTGTCTGGTAATAACCTTTTCCCATTTGTATTCTGTGAAGTCAGTTAAAGGACGTCTGGGACAAATACAGGCTTTATTTCAGAAACCCAAAGACTCATGGCCAAACAAGTTCACTGCCAGTGGGAGAGCAGACATGGATGCCACCTTTTTGGAAATGGCAACACGAAGTAGAGAAATGTCAAAGCCTTATTTTCACAGGTCAGAGAGAGGGCAAGGAACCGAGTCTAAAATGGGATACTTGGAAATGTTCTGATGTTCACCTGGAAAATCTTGGCAGGGACCTGGACCTATGTGAGTAAGTAGAAGAAGCTGAATCTTATAAAAAGGACAAGCTTTTATCCAGAGATAAATAACATGGTGTGAAGTGTCTTCCTTACATCTACAGCATTCTGTTCTTGATAGGCAGAGCCAAGAATAATAGAAAAGTTCTATAAATTTGATTTTAATTTCGACTGCCTGCTATTTAGATTTAGATCACTCAGCAAATATATTTGTACCCTTGATGTTTTTCTGAAACTTGTATTTAATTAAGACCATAGCATTAAAATTCACTTTCTCACTCATTCAACCAATACTCCCGAGCCCTATTACATTCTAGGCTCCGTTCTAGCCACAGTAGATACTTTCCTCCATTCTTTCATACAAAATAAGCCAGCAAACAAAGTAACAGAATCTGAAATACTTCAAAAGGCCTTTTAAAAATAAATTTTAAAATGTAGTGTGACTGGAGATGTCAGAATGGACAACACACAGAATTATGGAAGAATTTTTTTTTTTCAGAATCACCCAGGTAACGATCAGGAGATGATAATGATCCAGAAGAGGGACAGAACACCCTAAAGTCCTCACATAACATCAGAGCAGCAGAGCAGTATGTATAAGGGGGAAGCTGGGCCCCTCCAGGTCATGGAAGCCCCATCATTCATAATGGAGACTTCTGATTTTATTTCATGAAATGCAACTTCTGTGACTGAATCTAATTTTGAAAAAAATCACTTAAAAAAATAGAAAATAAATTTCAAAACAAGCAAAATAGGATTTTAGAGATGAATTCTGGCTTGGGAGATGTCCATCGATGAATATCAATATACTTCACGATGTGTTTATATTTCAGGTTGTTTTAAAGTAAAAATTTTAAAAAACCCTCATTATTAGTTATTTCTCATAGTCCATTCGGACCAATCTAGCCAAACTGATATTTTCCTACATGGGAAAATGTAAAACAGACCAGTAGTAAGTGTGCCCACTGACAACTCAACAACCCAATTTACTGTTATGGAAACACTGATAAAGAGTTTTGCAAGGCAACCGTATAAAACTTTTTCCATCCCTTACAAAACACTTCTGCAACTATAGAAGTAAAACATCGCTTAGAAAGCTGCCATTCAGGGAAGAAATGGATTACTGTTCCATCCTCTAAACGAGGGAACACAGAACCACTTTCCAGTGTTTGTTTTTATGCCTGTCCATCTGATCCATCTCTCGCTGAACGACAGGCGACATTTTCTTCAGCTAATGAGGTGACCCTGCTGAGAGCTGTCCTAGCAATAATGAGAAATAACATTTTTCGCAGAGCACGGTGAAAAATACTTGTTTTTAGTGTCACTGCCATCAGCATGGTTCATGAGTTAGGGATTTCAGTTAACTTTCCTGCTACTTGAAAGAAAGGCAGACTGAAAAACACCAGGGCTGTTGGCCAAGTCAGGGAACATTCATGAACTTGAGCCTGTCAGCTCCACGAACTTCAATTTGACCCGTAGCTCTGCCACTTTTGCAGTGAGAGCTTGGCCAAACTACTGCCCTTCTCCAACCATAAGTTTCCTAATTTGTGTGAAGGGCTACAGATACTTGTTTCTATCTCTGTTGAAAGGATAAATGCAATGTGTAAAGTGCTGGTACGCTGGAAGCAACCATTGTATCACTGTGCATATGCTAAGCTGAACTAAGATGCTTGCTTCTTAGGGGATTTTCTTTGTAGAGCCAAGACAGCCTATTATTTAATGAGTGACCTAGGCTTCTCGCATGAATTTCAGTCCCAGTTATTACAGAAGCGAGGAGCTCAGTCCTCTGAGAAACTATGAGCGGTGGACTCTTAAGTAACACACACTCTTTCACCCTCTCTATTGAAAGAGAGGGTTTGCTTAGTCTTCACACTTCTGGCAAAGACACAGAGAAACATTTCAGAAGCAACTTTTCGGGACCAGAGGTAAAGTGATGCTGTTTCACAGGGTTTCCCAGGCAGAAGTGGTACCACAGCCCAAGAAGATGCTTGGAAAGGGGAAGGGGTGCGATGTTGTGATTGCCACACAATTAGGGGGTTGTTTTGAGCATTCAGTGAGTGGGGGCCAAGCACCCCGAAATGCCCTGCAATGGGGAGCAATCTTGCCATGGAAGAACTGTTTAGAACAAACGAACCTCCACTGATGTCAGCTGCCAAGGTCGCCTCTCTTGGACTGATAGACGAAACACAGGGATGGGGTTTGTGGAAGGGAAGCGTGCAGCAGCCAATCTAGGGAGCCGGTCCAGAGTGGTGCTGCTTATGTGCTACAAGCTCTTTAAAAATTTTATATAAATGAAACTTATGTTTGAAAGAGGAGGTTTTCCTTACCTGGGGCAGAAGGGACTGGAGGTCTGATTGTGAAGCAAAACTTTAAGTTTCATTGAAGACATAGCAGTTAGGAAATAGGAGCAGACATCAATTATTATTTTATGTTATTTTCAGCAGGACCTGAAGACAGGTCCTATGTATTGAGTTAGATCCCCAGCTTGAACTTGCCTTCCTCCTTCCTCAGCCTCCCAATCAACAGCAAGCACCTTTTTTTTTTTTTTTTTTTTGGTACTGGGAGTTTGAACTCAGGACCTTGTACTTACCAGGAAGGTATGGAGCCACTGAGCTAACCCCTTGCCCAGGAGCAAGCACCTTAAACAGTGAGGCCATAGGGCTGGGGCTTTGGCTCAGTGGTTCTACCACTTGCCTTGAAGCGCAAGGGCCCAAGTTTGATCCCCGATACAAAAAGAAAAAAAAAAAAAAACCAAAAGAAATAACCCAGTGAGGCCATGTGGCAAGACACCTTATAACTGCTCACCCGTCATTTTAAAAAGTCAACATGGACAATCTTTTTGGATGAAGAGACCGAATCCCAAACATGATTTTTTCGAAGTTACTCAGTATTTTGAAATACAACTAAAACTGGATTTCAGCCTTCTTATCAGTAAGGTTGATCGTGTGCGAGGTTTGCATTGCCCAATCCTGCCTGAGGTGCACTCGTCACATTCGGGTCCACCGTGTGCAGATTCCAACTGTTAACATAACAGAGTTATTTTCTGGCTGATGGTATTAAAATGACCAGAGAGAGGACTGACTTTTCTAATTTATTAGACTGCAGTGTAGGTGCCCATGTTTTCAGCTGAAGTCTAACTATTATAAAAGGTCAGAGCCCATATCCAACTGTCTTCTAAAGGAGGTGGAACTCTTGTTGTTCTGTCACCAGGTAAGAACACCAAACCTTTATGTGCATGCCGGATACCTAGGAACTGCTCAATCAAGAGCGTGAACACACCCTGTTTAATGAGTTCATTTCTGGAAATTC